AAAGAATTGATCCAAAAAAATAAAATAATCAACTGCTAGAACAGATTATAAAGCTCTGTTGGCCTTTGGTAATTTGCCTGCATGGAGAATGTGTCCCTCCAGTTAGTAGAACTAGCAGCATTGTTTATTATGGATGTAATAAATTTTGAATATATGCATTTTAATTATGATTTCATTCTTGATTATGATTTGTGTTATATTACTAGTTACTTGATTATAAAGTTCGAAATTATTATTTGCATCTATATTGTGTTTATCCCTCTTTCATGTCGGATGACACTTAAAAAAAAAGTTTATTTTCTTTTAATTAGTTATCTTCTAATTTTCGTTTAACTAAAACATAAATGTAGTCGTCTTTTCAACTTAATCTTAACATTTAAAGGTGACATAGATGGAATCATGGAAATCTTCAGTTACAAACCAACTTGCCACAAACTCAAAAAGTTAAGAACCTACCCGATAAAAATAGAGGTCAAAGACCCATTTGCTCAGATTTAATATGTTGGGGGGCCTCCACTGCAATTTTCATATATGCATGGTTCCCTTCCCTCCATATTCTTCCTTAATCACCGCACAATTGCTAAAGACAAATTCACCAATTTAAAGTTGCTCAGCTTCTCTTAATGGCGATTTAAATTCCCTTAATTATAGTTTAATTAAAAATCGAATAATTAGCTTATTTTCTTGATTTCTGTCTCTTTCTTCAAAGGGCATTTAGTTTTACAGCTTCTTTTCTTTTCTTTGTAACTCTTCAATGTAAATTATTCTTGGCGTATCATCCAGTCCCAGTAAAAGAACAATCTTTATCTTAGTATATTTTAAGAAATTAGAGGCTCTGGTTAAGGAAACAGAAACAAAAATGTTTGACTGTCTGTTCAAAACCAAGTTTTACTCCAAATGGTAAGAACAAAAAGTCACAATTCTTTGAATATATTCTTGATTGATTAAAGTTTTTGTTGGGTTTTTGTTGAAATAGCAAGTCATCGATTAAACTGACAAAGACTCGAATCGAAATGATAAGAAAGAAGAGAAATGCAATGGAGAAGTATACGAGGAATGATATTGCTGATCTTCTTAGAAATGGATTTGATATGAATGCCTATCAAAGGGTGAGTGTTTTTTGCCTTACTTTTATCCAACTTCTTTTTCTTGATGTCACTAACAATTTTCAAACAAGTTCTAAACGGTAACATTAGCGTGAAAGCTGATGACTTGTGCCCACGTTACGTCCCTTGAAATGCATGAATAAAAAATAGATTGAGTGTTTATAACAATTTATAAATATGAGCCAAACATAGGATAATAACTTTTTTCTTAAGAACCACAAGGGCTAGAGACCGGGTTGGGCATGTCCGGCCTGGCTCAGGCTATCCACTTTCTTGGTCTATTGTTTATCAATGGGCTTAATATTATAGCAGATGCTTTCTTTAGAAAAAAACTAATTGTACAAAAAAAGTTTGACAAAAAAGATGACAAACCCTCACATGATTGCCGACCCCACGTGAATAAAAAATTGAAANTGATTGCCGACCCCACGTGAATAAAAAATTGAAAATAAAAAGTGGGCCCCCCACATTGTGAGGGTTTGTCAACTTTTTTGTCAAACTTTTTTTGTACAAGTAGCAGGGTTGCTTTCTTTATTCCATCAATATGTGACTTGCACCATTTTTCTGGTGGTGGAACAGGCTGAAAGACTTCTGGTTGAGCTCAACATGTCCTTATGTTACGACTTCGTCGAGCAATTTTGTGTACATATCTCAAGCCATCTTACTGACATGGATAAACAGAGGTATATAAACCATCTCCCTTCATGTTTGGTAGCACGGATTGGGTAGCACCAGAAAATTTTACGAATTCATTGCGTGCACTAGATGTATATAAACTACCAAGTGTTTAGTTTCTCGAATAAGTCATTGTTATACTTCTTATCATTCACAGGGAATGCCCTGAAGGGTGCAAGGAAGCTGTATCATCGCTGATGTTTGCAGCAGCAAGATTTGGTGATCTGCCCGAATTACGTGAGCTCAGAACGATATTTTCTGAGAGATTCGGGAAATCCCTCGAGTATTATGTCAATAAAGAGGTAGTAATTCATTATGGCATTGGTGAAATGATGAAAAAGTTTTCGTCAGTAAGTTAAATTTTTTCAGGTTCTTGTACTTAGTTTGTAGAGAAGTTGAAGAGAGACCGTCCATCAAAGGACTTGAAGCTTCAGTTAATGCAAGATATAGCAACAGAATCTGGTTTGGATTGGAATTCAAAAGCTTTGGAAAATGAACTGTATAATGCACAAGTAAGGCCTGAATGTCCCTTCGGATGATCGATAAGGTCAATATCTTCAAATTTTCCATTACCTTTCTAGCCTGATGTATCTTTTTGGAAAACTGCCCAATTCTTTTGCAGGAGTATGGGAAGAAGAACGATGAAAAGGAGAGTGTGCTTCCTCAAAGAAATGATAGAAGTCCAGACGACATTCCTCCTTTAAGTGACAATAAAGTGGAGACTACTAGAAGAAATGAGATGCAAAACGAGGCAGAAACTTTAACAAGTGATTCTGGCAAGGAATCTGAAGCTGACGAACCTTCTAGCTACAAGAATCGTCCTCCTCCTTATACCAAATCAGAAGTCAAAAATTTGGGGGATTCTGAAGGTAATGTGAGAGCAAAGATGCATTTAAAAGAAACAAATCAAGAAAAACCAAATATGGCCCAAAGGATCTTAAAATTCTTGGACAAGGGCCACTGTAATCAGAGTGACGATGAAGAAAGCAGGCTGGACAGGCTTTTAGCACATTACGCTGAAAAGAAGGCACCTCGTGAAACTGAGGAATCTGACTCAGTCCTTAAGATATCCCCAGAACACGATAATATTAGCACAAGCAAAACCACAAGAAAAGATGGTTCTTCAAGGAGAACGGCTTCTCTTCCTGTTGAGTTAACCAGTCCACCCAAAACTCCAAAAGGACATGCTCGAGCCTCATCCTTCCAGCCCGAAATACTGAATTCAAGAGGGAGTGTGCATCCTAAGCTACCAGACTACGATGACTTTATAGCTCGACTTGCAGCTCTCAGAGGAAACTGAATATGCTGATACAGGAATTATTTTTAGAAGTGTCGTTACATTACTTGAAAGTATACACTAGTTTCTTATAACTAGTTCATCTCACAAAAACATATTCATTCATATTATTTCTGTCTAAAGATTATTACACTAAAATGTGAAGCGTAAACATTTATAGATCTTTACTAACTCGACGAAAAAATAAGTTATGCTTGGCTATAAAGAAAAAGAAGACTAGTTATTGTCATTTCGTGCATGTGTTTTACTTGTATCTTTTTCTTTTTGAACATTTTTTCTCGTAGTTTTAGTAGTATCCCATATCGAGAAGTGCGATGAAGTTTGTTTCTTGATGAAGTGATTTACGTTGCAATTTCCTCTTAAGAATCGTTCCCTAAGATTATTTCGTCATCCATCAATGAGTCAAGTTTTTCTATGCCATCTTAATAGAATTTTTGGATTAAACCGTTAAGAAAGACGGGATCTTTTAATTAGTGGGACGTTGAGAATAAAATTTGACGAAAAAACTTGAAGACTTCAATGGTATAATAAATAAAGATCGAGGACTTAAGTGCAATTTAAATGATCTCTCATTCCCATAAAAGTGAAAAGACCATAGTATACCCCTCTCAAAATTCCCAATAATGGGTAGAATTTCCTCCGCAGTAGAAGTTCCCGAACTACGCCGCCGCTCGCCTGAATCCCGTAATTACCACCGTCGTAGACATAGCCGCAGCCGCAGCATGAGCCGGAGCCGGAGTCCGGGCTACAGTCGTAGCCCGCCTAACAACAGCTACAACAGGTACCGACGCTCTTCTCCTGATTATTCTTCGTACCGTAGACGTAGTCCAAGGTCTGATGAAACCCCACAGTCCGACGGAAGAAATAGAAACAGGTATGATGATAGAAAGAAACCGTTTCTCGTCCGCGATTATAAAAATGGAAGACATGGGGAGTCTGAATCGGATGAAGAATTGAGAAGCTTGGGATTCGAAGAGTACAGGAGGCTTAAGCGCCAGAAATTGAGAAAATTGCTCAGGAACTGTATTTGGAATAGTACTCCTAGCCCTCCTAGGGATCCAAACCAATCCTCAGATTTGGAACCTGAGGATGAGATTACCAGGAAAGTTGAAGAAGAAAAAGAGAGCAGAGTGGATAACAAATTAAAGTCTGGTTCGAAAAAATTGAGTAGCGATTCATCAGAGAGTGAATTTGAGTCGGAGCCTGAGGATTTTGAATCTAGATCAGATGATTCGCTGCCGAGGAAGAAGAGGAAGAGTAGAAAGTTGAGTTCCAGGCGCAGGGGGAGGAGGTCAAAATCTGTATCTGAGAGCGAGAGTGGGTCAGAGGAGTCGGGTGATGATGATGATTCCGAAGAAGAAAATAGGAGAAGGCGGAGGAGAAAATCGAAGAAAAAGAGCAGTAGGAAAAGTAAGAGGTCTGAGAGTAATAGGAGGAAGAAGAGCAATAGTAGAAGGAGGAGCTATTCAATTGAAAGCAAGACTGACGAGAGTGAAACTGAGGATTCCGATGCTAGTGATCATGTTAAGTCAAAGAAGGGGAAGCGTGCCTCATCTTTGAAGTCTCAAAGCTGCAAGAAGAAGAGAGAATTTGAGAGTTCCAATGCCGATGAAAGTAGCTCTGATTCTGAAATTGATGAAAAGAACGCTAAGCAGAAGGTAGAAGAGGCTAAAGTGAGTGACGAGAATAATGCAGAGTTGCTCAAGTTTAAGGAAATGATTGAGTCTAGGAAGAAACTGACTCTGGATGATGAACAGGTTGTTGGGCCAATGCCTTTGCCAAGGGCAGAAGGGCACATTAGCTATGGTGGTGCACTTAGGCCCGGTGAAGGTGATGCCATTGCACAGTATGTTCAGCAAGGTAAGCGTATCCCTCGCAGAGGTGAAGTGGGCCTTTCGGCTGAGGAAATTCAGAAGTTTGAGACTCTTGGTTATGTGATGAGTGGTAGTAGGCATCAGAGAATGAATGCCATCCGTATCAGAAAAGAAAACCAAGTTTACAGTGCTGAGGACAAACGAGCGCTGGCAATGTTTAACTATGAGGAGAAGTCCAAGCGTGAGCAGAAGGTTATGGCTGATTTGCAGCGTCTGGTGCAGCGCCACATTGGGCAGGATTCTGGTCCTTCTCACGATCCTTTTGCTGGGAGGGCTGGCGAGGGTGATGATACTTGATTCTAGGTCATAATCATGGTCATGTCTCTATTTTGTTTGTCCGTGTCTTTTTTTCTTATTTGGATGTTGTAAGGATATAATCCGTTGGTGCCGAGTATAACCACCAGGGATTCTGTTTTGGGAGTGCATGTGCTCTCTTATTCTTCACAACTTTTCATGGTGTCCCACTTGTCCAATTGGTATCAGAATTCAATTTAAGTTTTTCATAAGAAAGTAGCATTGAGTTCGAATCATGGAGGACACGATAGAAAATTGTGAGAATAAGAAGCCAAGTTGCTCTCATAAAGCGGATAGTTTGTATGATATAAAGATTTAAACACGTAGGCCTAAGTTGTTACACTGAGAATGTATAACAAATCTTGTGTCCTCAGTACCAATGTATAATTTTTTAGATTTTTACTTGCATATGCAATTAAAGAGTACACGAACCTTGAAACGAGAAATTATATTATAGTTCAACGTGTAACTTGTGTCCTCAGTACCAACTTCTGAATGTGTAACTGATTCTTTATGCGTAACTTCTCAACCAGAGCAACAAAACAATATTCTTCTGTGAGACTTGTTCTGCAATGTCATTCCGATGGGCTGTGAAAGACTAGTTTTGTCCAATCGTTTTGCTGCAAATGTTGAGCTGAGCAAATCACTGAGCTAAACGAGCCACACCGATAAAATTATGCTACTCTTTTGGTTTTTATAGTAAAATAAACTGTATGGTATTTCGACTGTATTATGGAAAAAGAAAAGGCTAATGTCTTGTGCGTTATGCTACCATTTTTGTTTATGCGTCTGGGAGTGGAATCTGGGCTTTGCGATACTAGCGCTTTCCTATTTCATAGATGAGCTCATTAATGTTTTTAGCAGTTTTTGCAAATGTTTCCATGAAGAACATCCTGTTTTCTTCAGAAAATTGCTTCTCGTCCTACAAGAAGTTAAACATGTAGCAAAAGAATTTCATCGTAACTTTGTGAGAGTATCCTAAAGGCTTTTTTGGCCGGGTTTTCGCCTGTTAGAAATTTTCATCAGATTTTGAGCAGAAAAGTTGCCCTTTTTTCAACCTGTGGTTCCCACCTGTAAGACATTGGGTCAACAATGGCTGCTGAGTTTAAAAATTAACGGTACAAAAATCTCTTTTTTGGTTTAAAAAGCTCAACCAGACACACCCTTAATTAGTTTGGAAGCTAATCTCTGTTTCGCTCTTCTAACTAGAAGAAACATTTATAAAATTAACTATAGTCCAAAAATAGCTTTTGAATTTTAAAAGTTTTTTTGATTTATCAAAAGTCATGCCCAACGAGACCAAAGATGGCAATTTATAGTGCATCGAGCACGACCAATTTTCCATCAAAAAAAGGACAAACAAAAACAAGGCTGAAGTGCAGTTCTTTTGCTGATGATGTAGTAACATCTACTATATGCAACTGAGGTGAGTACATTGTTGAAGACAAATTCTCGTGTCTAATAGCTTGAATTTTTAGATTACTTTGTTCGGTATAAATCAAGAACTTGAAAAGAGAAATCTTGTTTGTGCTGACCTCGGTCTTGACCTCTCTACTTGATTCTAAGTCGGCTTTGTTTGCTAACAATACCATCACCATATTTGTAGTAGCTGAAAAAAAAATACATATAAGAAAGAAATATATAAAGTCGTTGAATTATTTTAAACTAAAATTTTCGTAAAGACTGACACACATTGTTGCCTTGAAAATCATGTTCTTGTATGTCAAGTTGTTAATTTCATCACGAGTCCTGTTTATCACTGTATTCCATCGTAAACAAGAATATTTTGAAGCATGATGAGAAAATTAGAGCAAGTCACCTTTCCCTCTAAGTTCTTCAACCCATTTTTTGGCTCTCATAAATGTATCCTGAAGACAAAACACACAGAATTTAGTTTCCTTCACAAATTAAAGAACTCTTCCATTCGTATGTTATTTTGGGAAGTTTTGCTGTCGCTTTACGAGATAGAATCGACCAACAAATTCTATCATGTTTTTCTTAATCATATCCAATATAACTACCAAACTATTTAAAGGGAATTGAAATAGGTACCCTGCTTGTGATATCATTAACAAGTAAACAACGATGGCAGCTGCAGCTCCGCGGTAGTACATTGGAGCTAAACTGTGGTACCTTTCTTGCCCTGCTGTGTCCCATGTGTCAAATTTCGCTGTGGCTTCTGGTAATGATATTATCTGAGTAAAGAAAGCTGCACCTATAGTTGGTTCCTGCATCAAAAACTTGTTCATCGACTATGCAACACTAGACAATGTTGAGGAAGAAAAGAAGCTAAAATCTCGTATATTATACCCTCAGAGTTGTATTTTTGACATACTTGGTTATCGAAAAATTGACCTTTGACAAATCTTAGCAATACACTGTCCCAGTTCCCATGTCCCCCAAAAGGACCTGTAACAAGAGAAAGCACAGAGGAATGGAAATTTAGAGGCAGTGACAATGGTTTCATTTAAATGGAGGTCAAAAAATGTGAATAGTTGAAGTAATATGTCGTAATTTTGAAAAGGTACGTTTGTTGCAGTTGTGACAAAAAAAAAATAGATTACCATCTTAAGGAAAAAAGAACTTATTTACTTTTAAGTGAAGTTTTTCATGCTCAACCAAACATGCTCTAGGATGCAACATATAGATCATAAATATGCATGCAGGGATAAATTTTTTGTAGTTTTGAGCGAGCAACGATTCTTGGTTTCAAGTGTATTTGCCGCCACTGGCGGAGCTGGGGGTGTCCTGGGGGACCGGGACCCCCCCAAATTTTTGACAATTTTTTTTTTTTATTTTAAAATTTTATTTTTTGGTTCTTTTTATTACTGTGGTAATAACAGAACTTTGCAGGTTGTGTAAATATTCCTNGAAAAATCTATATGTACTATATCATACTCCCGAATTGTTTACTTCCTGCTGACATGGCACTCTCCTAGTAAAAAAAAAAAGGAGAGTGCTAGACGTACTCCATAGTATACTACATGCTGATGTGGCTGGGATTTGAAAATGGTTGAAAATTCAACACAGCAATAATAAAAAAAAAACAATTAAAAGGCGCCAATTTCTTACCAACTCCCGTCCTTTCCATTCGCTAGCTCCAAAGTGAAAAACCTCCCGGTGAAAATGGACCGGCAAGAAAACTCAATCGATGTCACCGCCGACTTGGACGAGGCCGCCCACACGTCGTCGAAGTCGGCGAACCCGTTATTTTTCCCCCCACACTCACACTGAGACATTCTGTTACGGAGACGGAGATGAAGGGGAAGCCGGCAACTCCCACACCGACAACTGCAATGCTGGTGACAACATGGGTAAGATGTTTTCAATTTAATCTTCATTATATAGCCAGAAGTGGGAAGCTTAACTGATGGTGAAGGGCTGATTGTTTACTGTGTTGTGAAGTGGGAGGCTTAACCAGTGGTGAAGTGCGCGGCTTAATCGGTGGTGAAGTGGGAGGTTTAACTAGAGGGGCTTGGGTGTGGCGTGGGGTGGAGGTGGTGATGGTTGTTGCGGTGGGGTGCAGAGGCTGGTGAACGAGATAGGCAGTAGCAACAAAGGCACCAAAAGAGCTAGACTGCGGGTGATCGTTTACTGTAAATTTAAGACTGATTGTTTACTGTGAATGTTCCTAAAGCTATGCGTGTATTTTAACATATTCTTGTTTAAGATGATAATTTTTTTCTTTCTTTTTAACTGAGAAAGATGGAGTTTTTCTTCTTGTGAATAGAAATAAATGTTAAACAGAAAATTTTAAGGAATTAAAAGGGAGTTTGATACCACATTTCAAGTATTATTTATATCCCTGACAAATGCTCAAAGGTTAAGAAATATTTGGCATATACTAAAGAGACTATCTGGCCATTTTTCAATTTTGGTCCAGATTGCTTTTACAATTATTTCTGTATCCCATTACTTCCATTTCAATCTCGAAGAACTGATGGTTGGATACAATTTTTGAGCATTTCAGCATTGAGGTGAATTGATTTTTACATTTTTGTTTTACTTCCATTAAATTTTTTGCTGCAATTTCAAAGTGCCGATTTCTGCTCTTCATCCCGATTTCAGAGTGCTGCAAAAGTGAAAAGTGCAAATTCCAATTCTCAAATCTTCGTTGCAGTTTCTGGTCTTCATTGGTTCACCAGTTCATTCCATTTGGCCGATTTGGGTGAGCTTATAAGGCATAAACAGGCTATTAGGCTCAAATCTACTTGTTATTCATATTCTCATCCTTTTAAAATTGTGGCACCTGTCTTTAACTATAACTAGCAGAATGAGAGTTTAATGGTTATGTGAAATGTGATATTGAGTAAAAGGTGAAATGTTATTCAAAAAGGAGATTATCACGTGATTTTGGATTGCAGACTTGCAGGGTCAGCTGCCCTTTTTTTTACTAGGAGAGTGCCATGTCAGCAGGAAGTAAACAATTCGGGAGTATGGTGTAGTACATATAGCTTTTTCCAAAAAAAAAACAGCAGCTGACCGTGCAAGTCTGTAACCCAAAATCACGTGATAATCTCCTATTTGAATAACATTTCCCCTTTTACTCAATATCACATTTCACATAGCCATTAAACTCTCTTCTGCTAGTTATAGTTAAAGACAGGTGCCACAATTTTCAAAGGACGAGAATCTGAATAACAAGTAGATTCGAACCAATGAAGACCAGAAACTGCAACGAATATTTGAGAATTGGAATTTGCACATTTCACTTTTGCAGCACTCTGAAATCAGGATGAAGAGCAGAAATCGGCACTTTGAAACTGTAGCAAAAATTTTAATGGAAGTAAAACAAAAATGTAAAAATCAATTCACCTCAATGCTGAAATGCTCAAAAATTGTATCCAATCATCAGTTCTTCGAGATTGAAATGGAAGTAATGGGATACAGAAATAATTGCAAAAGCAATCTGGACCAAAATTGAAAAATGGCCAAATAGTCTCTTTAGAATATGCCAAATATTTCTTAGCCTTTGAGCATTTGTCAGGGATACAAATAATACTTGAAATGTGGTATCAAACTCCCTTTTAATTCCTTAAAATTCTCTGTTTAACATTTATTTCGATTCACAAGAAGAAAAACTCCATCTTTCTCAGTCAAAAATAAAGAAAAAAATTATCATCTTAAACAAGAATATGTTAAAATACACGCATAGTTTTAGGAACATTTACAGTAAACAATCAGTCTTAAATTTACAGTAAACGATCACCCACAGTCTAGCTCTTTTGGTGCTTTTGTTGCTACTGCCTATCTCGTTCACCAGCCTCTGCACCCCACCGCAACAACCATCACCACCTCCACCCCACCCCACGCCACACCCAAGCCCCTCCAGTTAAACCTCCCACTTCACCACCGATTAAGCCGCCCACTTCACCACCGGTTAAGACGCCCACTTCACAACACAGTAAACAATCAGCCCTTCACCACCAGTTAAGCCTCCCTCTTCTGGCCATACAATGAAGATTAAATTGAAAACATCTTACCCAGTTGTCGGCGTGGGAGTTGCCGGCTTCCCCTTCATCTCCGTCTCCGTAACAGAATGTCTAAGTGTCAGCGTCTGGGGGAAAAATAACGGGTTTGCCGACTTCGACGACGTGTGGTCGCCCTCGTCCAAGTCAGCGGCGACGTCAATTGAGTTTTCTTGCTGCTCCATCTTCACCGGGAGGTTTTTCACTTTGGCGAATGGAAATGACGGGAGTTCGTAAGAAATTGGCGTCTTTTAATTGATTTTTTTTTTTATTATTGCTATGTCGAATTTTCAACCATTTCAAATCCCAACCACGTCAGCATGTAGTAAACTATGTACTATACTATGGAATACATCTAGCACTCTCCAAAAAAAAATGCTAAAATATTGTAAATTATATGATCAGTTCAATCTAATACCGTGCAACAAACATGGATCGAAAATAAAACACGAGAAAAGAAACATATACATAAACCAACCAGCTTGCCCTGCAAGCTCTTGTTTCCAGGCCTCTCCATTCAGTCTTTTCTTTTTCTTTATACAAATGTATTGAACGCCGGTTTCAAGAAAAATAGAAAATAAAGGTATGATTCTTCTGTTGTAATTATATGGCAACATTAGTAAGAAATTAAGAATGTCAGGTTTGATTAAACTACTTTGACTGGCAGTTCTCTTATATTGTGTACCACTGCGATAACAAATTAAGTCGACTACGTAAATTATTTTTCATTCACCACTCGAGTTAGCTTTGTCACTAGTTATTGAAAGTTAGGTGACAGCTAAATAAGATTAATAGCATTTATTCCTGGCAAATTTTCAAAACATGCTAGTCGACCCCCTGCGAGTAGAATAGGTTATCTATCAATCTCTTGGAAATAAGAACTCTCTGGACTATTATTAGTGCATTGTGTTTAAGCCTACTTAATTTTTTTGAATAATGCTATTTAGCCCAGCTGGGGTTACAATCTCAGTTTAGGTAGCGTTAATGTGACATTAAATGATAGATGAAATTAAATAAGTCATTTAATTTCACATTTCATTTAGCGTATCATTTAGAGTCCCATAGACTTGGATTACAATTTCAGTGAGGTTACATGGCATTACTCTAATTTTTTTCACCTATCCGCAAATTCCGAGGCGTATTACTAAATGACTCATTTAATATCATCTTTCATTTACCCTATTATCTAACGTCGTCTAGACCGAGGTTGCAACATCGATGGAGATACATGACATTATTCTTTTGAAATAGTATTTTGTTGGAGAACGTGATTAAAAAATAAGAAAATACTTTGAATTTACGTGAAATTATTTTACAAGTGTACGTAGTTGAAAATGAATTCTTAAAAAAATGTGTGTTTGAAAAAATTGAGGCCAAGCATAGGCTAATATGAACGCAATAATGTGAGTGGTGACTGGCAGCGTGTACAAGGCTCAGGAACAAACTCACCACCCTATGATTTTTATTCCAACTTCACGCAAGCAATTTACAGCTTACAATCCGAATTGATGAGAGATTTTCGAAACTAGATCACCCTCTTGGGATCCCAACCCTTTGTCCCAACCATTGTAGCACGTGTCACCCAAGACAAAGGACATGATGGACTTGGACATTATCTTCACCTTCCTCCAGCATATCACCAACAAACCTTCTGTTTAATGTTTCAAATTCAACGATGGCAAGTAAACACAAGGGTTGCCAGACCTGCTAATATTATTCTCAAGAAAATAATTTATACAATATTGTTAAATTTCCTTCTCCTATCACAAAATTATCCAAAAATTATGCAGCGAGCGATAGAAGTCGTACGTTTTACCACCATTAAAGGTTCATGTCATTTCAATCACCTAGTATTCTTCACTTCGCTATAGGCCAGCCATCTGCACAAGAAACAATATAAAAGGGAGACGAAGAAGAGGGCATTGGGTAGTATAGCAAAATACTAGGAAATATTTCTTCAACAAATTTATTTGTATAAATATCTCAACAAAATTTTCCCCTGTAAAATAACATTTATACATTCACGAAATAATAGACTAAGAAAATAAGAAATACAACATGCTCCTGGGAATGGTTGTAATGTAGAACCAGTTCTCTTAAACTTCAGAATGGTGCAATGCAAAGCCCAAAGAACCTCTTTTTTCAGTAACTGAGCAGGAACCATAAAAATTACAGCCAAAAAACACAAAGGGGTGAAAAATCATACACATTTGCAATGGAATGCCCAAGAAATCGGGGTAAAAGAAAATTATCGAGCGCCTCCCAACAGGGATCTACCTGCATTTCTAATAAATCTTCAACTCATCTTCCACATTTCCCCTTTCCGTTAGTTGCATAATTTAAGCCACGCCATGGATTTGTTACTCAAATTATCTGGACCAATTACCTAACCAGGAGATTCACGTACATTATTGGATAAAAATATCCTTGAATGCCTCAAGTTTCTCAACTTTTCCATTTGATGAAAGAGATGAAGAATTATGATCAGCGATGGAGCTGTCTGATCCCCCACCATTTTCAGGTAATTTTGGAATTTCGTGGGAAGTTGAGTTTGTGACGGCAGAGCAGCGACTGCCCTCAAAGTATGTTGAATATGGGAAGTACTCAGCGCACTGCACCTTCCATCCTGTAAAACAATATGAATTCAGCACTATGCAGGTAAAATTTTTAATCGTATCAGTCGGGTACCAATAACAAAACATCCCTCATTCTCAATAAATAGAACAATCAAACTGAGAAATTTAGCTATACAATATTTTCAGTTTCACAATTAGTCTGCCTATTGCTTCGAGTCAGAATGAGACACAACACAACCAGCTAAAACACGAACATAGTCGATATACCATTTGTTTACAGCATTCCTGACAAGTGGGAAAAACCCTAACTTCTCCACAAGTACAATTCAAGATAGTTAAAAGGAGTAATCTACGTCTAAAAGTAAATGAAGAAGAGAAACAGATTATTCTAATACAGACGAAGAAACAGAGAAGGACCAAAGCAGTCAGTGTATGGAAAATTACGCCGCCCTGAATTAGAGGTTAACATCCCAATCACAAGTACGGATTCATTCATTTTAAAGTTGGGAAATTGAATTAATTTTATCTTCTAAAAAAAAAGATACTGAGATAAAAGGTCAGGGAGATCCACGGAGATTAAAATTATTGAAATGTAAAAGGTCATTATTGTGAGACGCAACAGCTCAAGACAGGAAAGGATGTAGGCAATCTAAGATCAGCAAGTTCAAGCATGATTAAAGACTAATATACAGTAATGGAGTACATCTATTTGTCAAGGTATGAACAGCTTCCATATGCAAAGCAATGCACTCTAATTTCCTACAGGAACTCAAAATCAATGAGAGCATCAAAATACGAATAAAAGAATGAAAAGTCAAAGAAAAAGAAAACAAGTACTCACTTGATGCAGCATTGTGGTCATTGATAATTGTCTCTAATAGCCTGTGGACTGCAACACAGTCTTTGAGCCTCCACTTTCTGACTGCCTCCAGAGCTCCATTTCTAGTTTAGGTAAAACATGAAGGTTCAATGTTTAATGCCTTACGAGATACTATGCCAACTTAAATATCATAAATCATTGAAATAAATTTTCGTTGTTGAAGGACATTACATTGAAACCAGATCGTTGGTTGATCCTTCAATCAAGTTGATTGCCTCACCCTTCTTATTTGGTTCCAGAACATATAACATTTCTGCTACAGCTGCTCTGTGCATCAATGAATCTGCTAAGAACACAGGAATCCCAAAGTACGTCAATAATATGATCATAACAATTACAGACCAATTCTAGACATTCAACATGAAACAGTAAGATGCTGACCTCTGTGCTTCTCAAGGAAAACGGTGTTTGCTTCAATGAGAGATTTACCATGCAACTGACTGAAAGAAAACAAGCACAGGGATATTAAGTAATTGGAGCATTGAGTATAATAATGCTACCATCAGAGTTATTGAGGCACTCCTACTGGGTAGGAAATTTATCCCCCAAGAGAAGGAAGAAAAATGAAAAAAATCAACGGATCAAAGAACCTAATTGTAGGTCGTTCTGCTTCTAAGACACCCCATATGAGCTTCTCAGCATCAGTCACTGGAGCAGGCATGGATCCCACTTTAGAGAAGAACTTTATCTGCAACAAATCAAACAATTAGAATGAACAACGATGGAGTTCCTTAGGGACAACGAAGGAATTGTATTTAAGACACGTTATACGCATATATTCAATATATTATTTATGTGATGAGTATTTTCTCTCAGTAAATATTTTTTAAGAATGAATACACCATTAAATCATACCAAACAACGATGCGAATCTGGGTGTTCAGCATCCAACCGCAGCAGATGCTTTACAGCCTACAGTGAAGAAAGAGCTTTTTATTACATATCCATGAAATAAGAAGACAATAAGTTCTAGTAGCTACTAGCCCCAATTCAGGGACTGGAGAAGTTACATGTAATGAATTCATTTGATGATATAATCCCCATGGCAGGTCAAAGAGATGGAAGATAATACCATTCATGACAGAACAAGCTTCAATTCAAGATTTATATTATTGTTGCATTTTACAATTGAAATAAATTCACATATGATGACTGACAGAAGTAAAATTTAGGTGGATAAAAGAAGAGTTTCATTCTGAATTCAGAATCATAAACTTACCTGCAAAGCAAGTAAAGTTTTCTGCTTTCTCATATTTACTTCAAAAGAAAGTACATGTGTCTCAATGGACTCAGATGAATGTTTTTGAAGCAGCTTCAAATACTTCGTAGCTTCCATCAAAGGATCTTCAACCTACAATTAACAACACTTAAAGGTGAAAATACGTACTCTGCTATTTTTAAATGATCATTCCAGTTCTGAGTGAAGATTATCAACACCACCACAAATAGGCACTCAGCTAAAAGACAATTGAAGATATGAACTAGGACAGGATTCAAGTGATCCAGAAGCAAGGAGAAAGCCAGAACTGAACACATAGGACTATCAACTAAAATATCTACGAGCCAGTGAATCCAATGTATAGGTGGCCAAAATACCATTAATAACTTTTCTCCGTGAGGGTCTGGATCTACTGGTTTCACAGGACGTTTTCCAGATTTTGATACTGCAGTAACATTTGTTTCTTCTTTCACTTCAGCCTCCTAAAAATGCAAAATATTATTTTCAAATTATTTGGAGTAATTTTTTGTAGAAAAGCTACAAGCTCAATTACTTTCTTGGCTCGGGCCTCCGCTTTCCTCTGTTTTTGCCTAAGTTTCTTCTTTTGAGAAGGAGGCAACTTCGACATTTCATCATCTTCTTCTGCATTCGACTTTGAAGGAGAGTCATACAGCTTTAAATAGCATCTGCTTACCAATTTCAAATGAGCATAAGCACGAAAGAGTAGATAAGAAGATCACATAACATTAATCGCTCAAATTATTAATACCTAGAATAGCATTAATATCAACATTTGTCAAAAGCAAAATTGGATGGTCAGAAGGAGTAAAAACTGATATCAGATGTCGAAGTCATAAACAAAAATAGAAAGCATTACTTGATTGCTCCAGTAGCTGCTTTCTGGAAATAAGAATATGAATGTAGACGATCCTGAAATTTCAGCATTTCTACATATGTGCGGAGAGTCATTTTCCTTAAGCAATAGGAATGGAAGTCGAATTGGTCCTCGGTAATGTCAGCATAATGCTTTTCCACAGCTAAGAATTTCTTCAAAGCCCGTCCAAGTTCCCCTTGGCGGAAATAACTTTCTCCTGATGCTAGTTCATACCTTAAATTCACATAACAAAAGGTTCAGCAAAGGTTTCTAAAAGAAAAATAATTCAGTAGTAGCTTAGGTACGCACCACATGCACTGCATATCATGAAGGTTATTATGTTGCTCTCCATCTTTCGTGAATAAAACAGCCGTCTTTTCTGCCAATGTAACCTGGAACCAAATGTTCAAAAATGAAAGCATAATCAACAAAGCAGAAAATTAGAAAGTACCCAAAAAAATAAATTAAAATCAACATCTTATGACGACAAAAATAGCTCTAAACCTGGTCAGCTTGCAGCATACGCTTAACGCAATCACTATTGATGTAGCGGTCTGCAAGATCCATGCACCTTGCTTCATCAGCCAAAGCAGCAGCAGCTGACAAGTCACCAGCATGCTTTAATATCCGGCTCTGCAGTGAATATTAACCACATTAATTAAACTGGAGGATAAAATAATTATGATCCCATTTTTGCATAATAGGTAAATATTTATGTTTCCTTGCAAAAGATAACTCAAGCTTACTTACAAGAAAGTAAAACAGTGTCAGCAAAGTTTTTAAACATCTTTCATTGTTCAAAATTGTAGTTTGTTATATTCACATAGGTTATCCCATCCAATGACACAATCCTAGAAGATTTAGCCCTTGTTTGATGAAAATTAAAATTGGATTTTTAGTAGATTTTGATAAAAGTTAATGAAACGTGTGGTTGAAAAGTTGTGGAACTCATGAAATGTGTTAAAGTTAATTGTTGACTTTGACGTAGATTAAAATCCAGATTTTAATCACTACCAAACAGTGGCATGAGCATTGAAATGTATGATATGGTCAACAAATAAAGTCAGACAAACCAAAATCAAATCACCCACAAGACCTCCGAGAGAAGGCACAACATGGGGAGTGCAAAATGGATCTGTTTTACCAATTATAATTGAGAAGGATGGTCAACAAGGCAAATATCAAACCTCGTTATAGATTAATATCGTGAAAAGAAAATCAAAGAGATCAATTACCGAAGGCATGGCTCACAAATCAAATATGTACCTTGACAGAGTACAAATCAATGACTGTTGGAGTATGTTCTATGGCCTCATCGATTTTTGCGAGAGCAATGTCATACTGGCCACGCCTGTCATAATGCTGCACCAATAAATCTTCTTAGAAAAACTAAAAAACAAAAAGCAACAGAGCTTGCAAAAAATCATTATCAGACAAACCTGTGCCAAATAAAACAAAATCCACATAAGTGTTGAAGGGGGCTCCTTGTCCACCCTGCATATAAGGCAAAATGAAACACGGTGGTCAGCAGGAAGCAACCTTTCGGCATACTGGCAAAGTTCCTATTTATATATTTCATATCCAGCCTAGAGTATGGTTCCATGATCTGGAAGTACTATGGCAGATAATTTGATGGTTTCAGAAAATTTCTCTTCAACAAATTGGCTCACTCAAGTAAAGAAATATGCATGATGAGGCTAAATGAATGCAAACAATTATAATGATACTTTTCTTTACATAACGTCAAGGTTTAAAAAGACGAAACTAAATACCGAGGTGTTTTTTCTTTATAAGGCGAGGCATAAGCCTCGAGCCAGATTGAGGCGTAAGCCTCACAAAAAAACAAAATATCAAAATAAAAGAATTATAAAATAATACAAAAATACAAAAAAATTAAAAATTGGAGCATATAGTAAATAGGATATATAGTCATTAGCATATTAAGATATAATCCACCTAAAGAAAGAAAATGTATAGCAAAAAAAAAAAAAAACATTACAGAAGTTAAAAATCACTCCATTTGCAATGGAAAAAAAGAAGCAACTTAAATTAAAAAAAAAAAGCTTAATAGTCTGCACTATCATCACTATTACTAGCATCATTAATGAAATCGTCATATCTAATTTCTCCATCATCTTCATGGCTACCGTTTAATTTTTTAGGTATTTTATTGTTTTGTTTGGGCCCAAAATGCCTTTTTAAATGGACTCTTTTCTTTTTTAAGAAGGGCCCTTTCTGATTCTTTTCATTCAATTGAAAAATCAAATTTTAAATGAAGCGCACGCCACAAGATTTAGAAGTGTAAGTCTCATATTTTTAGCCTCAAAAATACCGCCTTGAGGTATACTAAATGCGCCTCACAGTGAGGCGGGCATCAAGGCGCGCCTCACTACTGCCTTTTAAACCATGCATAACGTGTAAATGACTAAGATTACATGCACTAAATTGTTCGTGTAAACATATATTTAATTGTTGTACCATTCAGGATATTATATTCCTTGTGATAAGTTGGCTAGTGAACGGAAATTTAACATAGATATTAAGCACTTAAATAGATTTGTTAAGGCAGTATCTCTGTAGACAGATCTCACAAGTTAGCATCTATGATCTGCATTACATCTTGATAAAGCACAACTATATTGACGACGAGACAGCCCCAAATGGAAACGGCATCATTCACATAATCAAAAATTGCAAAACATGGTCAGGGAAAAACACCAACAGTGTCAATTCAGCTTGTAATATAATATTGCGCTTCTAAGTCCCATAGAAGGTGCAATGACGATTCAAGAGCAGATAAAATAAAAGTTGAATCACCTCCCAGGATATCCACCCGTTTTCTTAATGGAGTTCTCTAGCTCAAGAATTAACTTCCCCAATATGTCTGCCTGTAAGAGATCCAAACAAAACACCATCCAGGATATTATATTCCTTGTGCCCAATTAGTCAAACTGATTATTTAGGGGAAAAAACTAACCTTCCCAGGATGATCATAGAGAGGAGAAAGATCAGAAAACAGAGAAGGAATGCCCTAAATGCACAAAAAAATTAAAAAAAAAAAAAGCGTGAGGAAGCTCCCATGAATAGGTCAACCAGTGAAAACAGAAGAAACAAAACTAAAATGAATACTTTCGTAAGAAGAGGTCGTATGTAGTTCTCTGCTGCAGCCTGGAACTTTTCACCGCTTAAAAAATCAAGTGGAATTCTCTGTCAAATGGAGAAAAAATTAACATAAAAATCCAGGAATAGATTGTGGATGGCTTTCCACAATTATAGATTGGGAATTTAACATGATTGGAGATGGAAACATTTTTTTTTGACAGTATATAGATGCATAAATCTGTCAAAATCCCTAAACTATAAATGAAAAAAAAAACATTATAACTGAAGAATAAAGGCACGATAAGCAATCAGATAACAGCACCAGAATTAAATCAAACTAGCTCCTTTTTGTAGGACTCCACAAGCTATCAAGCAATGTTCTAACTGCCAATGTGATCCAGTTAGGAAAATATCTGAGCAAGGTTCTAAATCTATGTCCATGATAACCCACTGTTAAAAACTCAAATATAGTTAAGTAAAGCTATCGTCAGTAGGACTTCCAAAGTTAGGAACCATGAAATTGAAAACCAACAAGCTTCTAGACATGAATGAATTCTTCCATGAAAATAAAAAGTCAGAAGTTAAAAGTTCTTGCAACGCATAATATGCTTAGTGACAGGAAACAAATACGTAGGTTAAAACTCGTAAATGCACCATACAATAGGTGAATGTATTGACCTGTAAACTTTTTTCTAAGAAAGCTAATATATATAATCCAACACCACTTTCGATTATTTACTCAATGAACATAAAAAACCGAAATTGACTTGGAACAAAACATAAAATGAAGAGTAAAAGCTAAACAGGACAAACTAGATAATGTGCCAGATCTTAAGCATACCTACAACTTAAGAAATCTTTACAGACTAAGAAATGACAAGGTGCAAGACAAATCATATTGTGAATTTTGCAATTCGATTTCACGAAGTTTTGCACAGATCATATGCAATTCCTCTTTTTACCATTCACATAAAAGGTGCATCATACATGCATTGATTCAGAATAAATGCTAAAAACGTAAAGGGGGAGGGAGGGGGAGAGAGAGACGCGAAGGAAGAAGCATGTGTCACCTTGACAGCAGATGACCTATTATATTGCTTGCTAAGCGATTCATACAAGGCCTCTAATTGATCAATTTGATCAGAGGAATACTGATGATTTTCAGAATGAAGTCCCATACATCTTTGTAGGCCTTCATAGTACCTATAATACAAAAGAATTAAAAATATCATATGAACTGCTCATGCATTCATTAAGTTGTAGACTTAAAACATTCAAAAACTTTATGCAATTCAATCCACGAGCCAACCATATTAAGACCAAAAGAAAAATAAATACAAAAACAAAAACTTTTAAATGCACGGTCATGCACTTCACATAGGTCTTTATGTGGCAGATATACGATAGGGTTCTGAGGACATGAGTTGGAACCAAAATTTATATCCAGCAACTCCTAAAGTATCTTTGCAATAATGATAAGTAGTACTTAGAAGAGCAATAATCTACACTTTCG